CTAGGCTTATACTCGAGTATATACAGTAGTATTGTTTCCACAAACAGGGAGGGAGGAAAGACCCAAGGTGGTTCTACACAGACACTGTTGTGCAGTTTGAAGGTAAAGTAAAAGGAACTAGTTCCACTGCAGAGCACCTATACAATCAATTGCTCCAGAAACAGGTAAGAAGCCGGGATGGTGGTCATAATATCTTCTGAATGTGGGCAGTCACCAAACCCATGATGCATTCAGGATTAGTGTTGGACCAGAGCAGGGTCTAGGAAATGGAGACAAAGGGGTGGAAAGCAAGCATTCCCAAGGGAAGGATGTAGTTGCCTGGGTGTGTGCGTGTATGCTTGTTTATCTTCTGGCCAGCTGTGCTTCCGTGTTTGTCAAGTGCATCAGTGCTAGCTCTGCTCAGACAAGCAATCCACATTTTTCGGTGGCTGCAGCAGATTTTGTGGCTTGTTCTGGACTTTCTAGTAAGTTTTAACAACTATTCCTACTGTAAAGTATACTCTCCATTGCTGATGTATGTTTTTTAGACACCTCAACTTCAAGTGGCATTATTAGATCTATGTAGACGCATCCATGTTTGACAGGAGCCCCGATGGCACAAGGGTTTAAACCCTTGTGCCGGCAGGACTGAAGACTGGCAGGACTGATGACCGACAGGTTGGAGGTTTGAATCCAGGGACAGCGTGGGTGAGCTCACTTTGTCAGCTCCAGCTCCCCATGGGATATGAGCAGGGGCGACTCAACCCATTACGCAAAGTAAGCATTTGCAGTATAGTTGATTTTGCCCAGGGGCACTCTTGTGGCGCTCTTGGGGGAAGATAGACCTTGACATATGCGAGTTGCAATTACTGGGATGTATAGTTCACCTACAATCAAAGAGCATTCTGAACTCCACCAATGATAGAATTGAACCAAATATGGCACACAGAACTCCCACGATGAACAGAAAATATATATCAGTGATTGGGGGGGGGGGGGCAAAATACTGTTTCTTACTGTTGAAAATTACCTAGGGTCGCCTCTGGATATGAGAGAAACCTCCCAAAGGATGGCAAAATATCTCAACATCTGGCCCTCCCCTGGCAACGTCCTTGCAGACGGCCAATTCTTTCACACCAGAAGTGACTTGCAGTTTCTCAAGTTGCTCCTGACACACAAACACACAAACTTCCATGCATCAATCCTGTGACTATCTTTATCATGGTTTGAGCACTGAAGTATGACTCTGGAGACCGAGGTTCAATTCCCCACTTGGCCATGGAAATTCATTAGGTGACCTTGGGTGAATCAAACACATTCAGCCCCAGAAAACCTCATGTTATCACCATATCTCTGATACGACACAGCAATAACAATATTTATCACTTCCTAGTATTCTATGCTCAACATACCCAATGTCAAATACCAAACATTCGGGCGTCCCCTGGGCAATGTCCTTATGGACAGCCAATTCTCTCACGCCAGAAGCAACTTGTAATTTGGGTTGTTGTAGGTTTTTTGGGCTATATGACCATGTTCTAGAAGCATTTTCTCCTGACATTTTGCCTGCAACTATGGCAAGCATCCTCTGAGGATGCTTGCCATAGATGCAGGTGAAATGTCAGGAGATAATGCTTCTAGAACAGTGGTTCTCAACCTTGCTAATGCCGTGACCCCTTAATGTCGTTCCATATGTTGTGGTGACCCCCAACCATAATATTGTTTTCGTTGCTACTTGATACCTGTCATTTTAGTACTGTTATAAATCGTAATGTAAATATCCGATATGCAGGATATATTTTCATTCACTGGACTAAATTGAGCACAAATACCCAATATGCCCAAATGTGAATGCTAGTGGGGTTGGGGGGAGGGGGGGAGGATTGATTTTGTAATTTTGGAGGTGTAGTTTCTAGGATTTATAGTTCACCTATAATCAAAAAGCATTCTGAATTCCACCAGCGATGGAATTGAACCAAACTTGGCATAAAGAACTCCCATGACCAACAGAAAACTCTGGAAGGGTTTGGTGGGCATTGACCTTGAGTTTGGGAGTTGTAGTTCACCTATATCCAGAGGAGCACTGTGGATTCATGCAATGATGGATCTGAACCAAACTTGGCACGAATACTCAGTATGCCCAAATGTGAACACTGGTAGTCTGGGGAAAATAGACCTTGACATTTGGGAGTTGTAGTTGTTGGGATTTATAGTTCACCTACAATCAAAGAGCATTCTTAACTTGACCAACAATAGAATTGGGTCAAACTTCCCACACAGAATCCCAATGACCACCAGGAAATACTATGTTTTCTGATGGTCTTCGGCGACCCCTTTGACACCCCCTCAGGGGTCCCGACCCCCAGGTTGAGAAACACTGTTCTAGAACATGGACATACAGCCCGAAAAACCTACAACAACCCAGTGACTCCAGTCATGAAAGTCTTCGACGATGACTTGTAGTTTCTCAAGTTGCTCCTGACACACACACACACAGGTGAAGTATTTAATAGAGCAATTCCAAGCACTTTGTAGTTCCTCAAAGACCAGTTGGGTTTACTTCCAAGTAAATGTGCATCATCCTTTTGTGTGTGGCTCTAGTTTCCAATGAAACATTCCCAGGAAAGGATTGCCTGAGCTTTACCTCTGTGCCAAACTCACTTGCTCCTTGGCTCATACAAAACTTTCCAGGAAATAAGAGGCATTTTCTTTATGCATTAGTATCTGTTGACTCTCTTAATTGTACAATAAAATAGCGGCACAACGATCTTTTTTTATACTGATACAAAAGTACGTCAATATAGAGCAGCAATCAGATTGGATGACTTTGACTTCAGCTTCTTCCTTGTGTACATTGACAGCTAATCATCAATCTTGGAGAGCTACAAAGGTTAGCTGGTTCAAGGAGTCATCTCTATAGTTACATTGAGTTCTTTGCCTCCTTCCAAGAGCTTGGTAACTAACAGGTATGCATACTGTATTATGGATGTTTCCTGGGTTATTTTACAAAATTGTCTTTTGAAATAAGTAAAAGTGCTTGAGATTGGCCTTTGAAATCTCTGAGGAAGGGAGACGATTGCAGAAAATCTTAATTTGAGGAACGTACGAGTCTTGCTGATTTTCTTCAAAGGGAAGTACATGTCTCTGCATGCATGGAACTCTCAAATTGAAAAGAAGTTTTTCTAAAAATATGTAGTTTTCCCACTCTTGTCAGGGTCCTTTGCTCTTAAATCTAGTGTATGTTAAGGTTTTAAGTCCCCCCCCCCCCCAAAAAAAAAGTTTATGCTGTGTTCCTCTCCCTATTATTACTCCCAAGGAGACCACAGTCATTGACTCAACTGGATTTACTGATCTGTGGATTATTCTTCAGCAGTTCATTGAATGGGTCTACTCCAGTTTTGTTGTTGTTGTTGTTGTTGTTGTTGTTGTTGTTGTTGTGTCAGGAGCGACTTGAGAAACTGTAAGTGGCTTCTGGCGTGAGAGAATTGGCCGCCTGCTAGGACGTTGCCCAGGGGACGCCTGGATGATTTGATGTTTTTATCATCCTTGTGGGAGGCTTCTCTCATGTCCCCGCATGAGGAGCTGGAGCTGATAGAGGGAGCTCATCCGCCTCTCCCTGGATTCGAACCTGCAACTTGTCGGTCTTCAGTCCTGCCAGCACAGGGGTTTAACCCACTGCGCTACCGAGGGCTCAGCCACATATAGTTCCTCATGTTGTGAGGAATTATTTTTGTTGCTACTTCATAACTGTAATTTTGCTACTGTTATGAACTGTAACGTTAATACCTACTATGCAGGGCTGTATTTTCATTCACTGGACTAAATTTTGCACAAATATCCGATACGCCCAAATTTAAATATTGGTGGGATTGGGGGAGATTGATTTTGTAATTTGGGAGTTGTAGTTACTGGGTTTTTTTGTTCACCTACAATCAAAGAGCATCCTGAACTCCACCAACGATGGAATTGAACCAAACTTGGCACAAAGAACTCTCATGGCCAACAGAAAATACTGGAAGGGTTTGATAGGCATTGACCTTGAGTCTTGGAGTTGTAGTTCATCTACTTCCAGAGAGCACTGTGGATTCAAACAATGATGGATCTGGACCAAACTTGGCACAAATACTCAATGTGCCCAAATGTGAACACTGGTGGAGTTTGGGGAAAATAGACCTTGACATTTGGGAGTTGTAGTTGCTGGGATTTATAGTTCACTTACAATTAAAGAACATTCTGAACCCCACCAATGACAGAATTGGGCCAAACTTCCCACACATAACCCCTATGGCCAACAGAAAATACTGGGAGGGCTTGGTGGGCATTGACCTTGAGTTTTTGGAGTTATAGTTCACCTACATCCAGAGAGCACTATGGACTCAAACAGTGATGGATCTGGACCAAACTTGGCACGAATACTCAATGTGCCCAAATGTGAACACTGGTGGAGTTTGGGGGAAATAGACCTTGACATTTGGGAGTTGTAGTTGCTGGGATTTATAGTTCACCTGCAATCAAAGAGCATTCTGAACCCCACCAACGACAGAATTGGGGCAAACTTCCCACACAGAATCCCCGTGACCAACAAAAAATACTGTGTTTTCTAATGGTATTTGGCGACCCCTCTGACACCCCCTTGTGACCCCCTCAGGGGTCCTGACCCCTAGGTTGAGAAATGCTGGTCTGCTCTAATCAATAGGGTTTTAAGGTTTAATGCATGGTTTTACTTCTACTTTGGCAACCTTATAACTTTGGCTAATAAGGCAAAAATGACACGATCACGTTTAACAGATATTACAAATTGGTTACTTACAAGAATCTATAGTAGGTTTTATGAGATTTAATTTCAGAGTTGGGTTTTGCTTGAGTTTTGAAAAGAATTGAGAAAAGTTCACCTTTAAAAAATGCAGGGTAGAAAGAAGTTAAAATATGCAAAAAAAAATGCAGGAGGAACTGAAACTGACTTATGTAAAACATTAATGCAAGAAGAACTGAAATTTACCTTTAATAAAAAAAACTCAAGTGAGGAGAAATGAAAGTGACCGTTTTTTCCAATTCAGCCCAAAGCTTTAAGCGCTTATCTATTTGGAGCAGGCATTTCAAACTCTATCATTTCATATTCTACAATAGCCATTAAATATAAGGCTTGTCACCTCTTTTTTTAGGAGTTCCTCCATTTTCAAGTTGCTGGTAAGGAATAGTTTTACTGCATTACTTTCTTCCTTGAATTTGACCTTGGTTTTGAATTAAATAGTTATCAGAGTATACCGTACATATTTGAGTATAAGCCAAGTTTTTCAGCCCTTTTTTAAGGCTGAAAAAGCCCCCTTGGCTTATATTTCAGTCAAAGTTATTTATTATTTTACTGGGTTATTATTATTTTATGATATTCATTATTTTACTCTATTTACTATTATTATTATTATTATTATTATTATTACATTTACATTATTTTACCCTATTATTATTGTTTTTATGACATTTATTATTTTTCTCTGTTTATTGTTATTTTTATGACATTTATTATTTTATTCTATTTATTGTTATTCTATTTATTATTTTACTCTATTGCTATTATTAGATTTACATTATTTTACTTTATTATTTTTATTATATTAATTTACTCTATTGTTATTACATTTATATTATTTTATTCTATTATTGTTTTATTACATTTATTATTTTACTCTATTATTACAATTGTTATTTTACTCTGTTTATTATTGTTATTTTTAGTACATTTATTTTATTCTATTTATTATTACATTTATTTTACTCTATTGATATTATTACATTTGCATTACTTTACTTTATTATTATTTTTATTATATTATTTACTCCATTATTGGTATTATTACATTTACATTATTTTGCTCTATTGTTACTACATTTATTTTTATTCTATTATTATTCCTATTACATTTACATTATTTTACTCTATTATTGTTATTTTTTATTACATTTATTATTTTACTCTGTTTATTATTATTGGAAGGAGACGTAAGCACATTTACATTGAAGAAGGTTAAAATAATGGTTTAATCAGAGTTGGATAGTCTTATCTTAAATTACAGTTCTATGTAAACATTCAAAAACATTTCACCTACTGATGCCTCAATTAATGTCATTTTATTGGTATCTATTTCTATTTTGAAATTTATCAGTAGATGCTGCATTTCCCACCCTCGGCTTATACTCGAGTCAATACGTTTTCCCAGCTTTTTTTTGGCAATATTAGGTGCCTTGGCTCCTATTTTGGTCATCTTATACTCGAGTATATACAATAATCTCCTACTTAATTTAAACTAAAAATTGTTTAGCAATGTTACAACATGATGGTCCTTCAAGTTCATTATAAATTTAAGTAGGGTGTAGTATTTGCCACCCGATGCTGGGAAGTAACAGAAAGATATAGCAGGAAAGAGCTGAGATTTCAATGTAAATATGTAGATAATCTTGGGGAATTTACATTGCAATCCTATATATGTCTCCTCAGAAGTAAGTACTCCTAGCCAATACAGAGGAACATATCCTCTAACTGTCCCAATTTGGCAGGGACAGTCCCAATTTATCCTCTGTTATCTCAATTATTAAAGATGCTTATATGATCGCCAAGTTTTCCCTTTCAGCTTTCTCTTACATCAGTTGATGCAAACTGAGTTCAAAGGCGTTCGCATTCAATTCACTCAGCAAAAGGGAGAGGAGAAGCCTTTCTCTTCCTAATGGACTCAGGCAAAAGCAAATTGGGTTGTTGTAGGTTTTTTCGGGCTATATGGCCATGGTCTAGAGGCATTCTCTCCTGACGTTTTCGCCTGCATCTATGGCAAGCATCCTCAGAGGTAGTGAGGTCTGTTGGAACTAGGAAAATGGGTTTATATATCTGTGGAATGACCAGGGGTGGGACAAAGGACTCTTGTCTGCTGGAGCTAGGTGTGAATGTTTCAACTGACCACCTTGATTAGCATTTGATGCCTGGCAGTGCCTGGAGCAATCTTTTGTTGAGAGGTGATTAGATGTGCCTGATTGTTTTCCCTCTGTTGTTTGCTGTTGTAATTTTAGAGTTTTTTAATACTGGTAGCCAGATTTTGTTCATTTTCATGGTTTCCTCCTTTCTGTTGAAATTGTCCACATGCTTGTGGATTTCAATGGCTTCTCTGTGTAGTCTGACATGGTGGTGTTGGTGTGGTCCAGCATTTCTGTGTTCTCAGATAATATGCTGTGTCCAGGTTGGTTCATCAGGTGCTCTGCTATGGCTGACTTCTCAGGTTGAAGTAGTCTGCAGTGCCTTTCATGTTCCTTGATTCGTGTTTGGGCACCATGAAAATGTCTCCAGCAGACAAGAGTCCTTTGTCTCACCCTGGTCTTTCCACCGATATATAAACCCTTTTTCCTAGTTCCAACAGACCTCACTACCTCTGAGGATGCTTGCCATAGATGCAGGCGAAACGTCAGGAAAGAATGCCTCTAGACCATGGCCAAATAGCCCGAAAAAACCTGCAACAACTCAGTAATTCCGGCCATGAAAGCCATCGACAATACATCAAAAGCAAATTGCTGCAGCCTCCCCTAAATTGCCTTTTCTTCTACTACATTATTATGTTGTTTGGTCATACATGTGCGGGTTAGAGATACATAGTAAATAGCTCGTATCTGGGAATATTGTTACCTTTGGGAATATTATTACCTTTATGAATCATATCTGATTCAGTGGTTAAACTCTAGTTGAGACTGACAGGTTTCCAGCCATGTAGTTCCATATTCATATGTGTTCATCACTGCCTTCAGTGTAACATTTGATTCAATGGGATTGCAAAAAATCCATCGTGATGCATATTCCATTCCACAGAGACAAGACTGATACACTATTGCAGGCATGGGCAAACTTTCTAACTGGTGCCGCATGGTGAGCCGGAGTGGGGTGGGTGGGCTGGGAGGGAGGGGGTTCTCTCCAAGTCCCCTCGCTGCCATTTCCTCCCCTTCCTCTTCTCTTTTGGAGGCAAAAAGTGAAGGAAAGACAGGAAACATTTGGATCCCAAAAGGGTTGGCCTTGATTAGGATGAGATGGTGGATGAGAGAGACAAAGTGTATCCATTAGACCCCATCTTGCCTACTCCTGATATAGAATTCTAGAATCCTAGAGCTGGAAGAGGCCCCCAAGGGCCATCTAGTCCAACCCCCTGCCATGCAAGAAGGCACAATCAAACCACTCCCAATAGACAACCTCTATGGAAAAGCCTCCAGAGAAACAGACTCCACCACACTGCCAGGTAGCCTATGCCACTCTTCGGCAGCTCTTACTCTCAGGAAGTTCTTCCTAATCTTTTCAGTGTCATTTGAACCAATTGCTCCCTTGCGCCCTGGTCTCTAGAGCTGAAAAAAGTCAGTTTTCCCCTCCTTCTCCTCAATGGGACACCCTCTGAAATCTGAAAAAGAGGAGGACGAAAGCGAGGAAGAGAAGGATGGATGGATGGATGGAAGGACGGAAGGAAGGAAGGGTTGAAGGGAATGGACGGAGGAAAGACAAAAGGGAAGGAAGGAAAAAGACAGAGGGAAGGAGGGAGGAAAGAGGGAAGGATGAAAGGGTAAAAGGGAAGGAAGGCGGAAGGAGAAAAGGGAAGAAGGAAAAAGACAGAGGGAACGAGGGTGGAAATAGGGAGGATGAAAGGGAAGAATGGAAGGAAGGAGGAAGGGAGAAAAAGGGAAGGAAGGAAGGATAGGATGATGAGAGGGGAGGACCTGAGAAAAAAGCTCAAGGGACCACATACAGCCCCTGGGCCTGGCTTTACCCATGCCTGCACCGTTGGTTGCAAAATAGTTCTATCCATCACACAAGCAATAATAATGCAAATGCCAGATATGAAAATGGGTCTTGCTTTGCACTATGCAAACATGATGTAGAATTTCAGCTATTGATTATAATAGGTAAAGATTTTCCCCTAACATAAATCCAGTCTTGTCCAACTCTATGGGTTGGTGTCCATCCCCATTTCTAAGCCGAAGAGCCGGTGTTGTCCATAGACACCTCCAAGCTCATGTGGCTGGCACTACTGCATGGAGCGTTGTTACCTTCCTGGAGCGGTACCTATTGATCTACTCACATTTTCATGTTTTTGAACTGCGAGTTTGACAGAAACTGGGGTTGACATCAGAAGCTCACGACACTCCCTGGATTCCCTTTCAGGCAACCAGTTTAGCAGCTCAGCAGCAGTTTAACCCACTGCGCCACCGGGGGCTCCATATTGATTATAATAGAAAATATCAATTTCATACATTTAACTGAGGAAGTTAGAGTTATTTGAAAATATAGTTGGTACTCCATAGCCATGGATTCTGCATGCATGGATTCCACCATCCACAGCTCTAAAATACTATATTTAAGAAGAAAAAAATCCAAAAAAATAAACCTTGATATTGCTATTTTATATAAGGCGCACCATTTTACTAGAGCATTGTTTATGATGGGACTTGAGCAGCCGTGGATGTTGGTACCCAATAAGGGAGGGGTGTTGGACCCAAACCCCAGTGCACACCAGGGGACCATGGTCTAAAACAATGTTTCCAGGTGTTTTGGGCTGCAGTCAGGCCCGTAGCCAGGATTTCGTTTCGGGGGGGGGGGGGGGGGGCTGAATTTTTTTCAGGGGGGTTTCCGGGGGGGGGGTGGGGGAGTTTCGGGGGGGGGGCGGGGGGCGAGTCTGAGTGAAAGAGGGTCTAGCCTAGCAAACCTTTTGTATCATTACCCCAATACCCCCATGCATATGGGATATATTGAGTATGGTGATCAGATCATGATATGAATAAACATAACAGTTTAAATAATGCACCAGTAAGGCCTTTTCGCGGACCACCCTGAGAATTTCGGGGGGGGGGGCTCAAGCCCCCCGAGTCCCCCTCCCCCTGGTTACATGCCTGGCTGCAGTTACCGAAAGTCTAGGTCACTATGAGCAGTGCTCAGGGATTATGGGAACTCCAAACTCTGGAGGATCAAACATTAAAAACTGGTCTAAAATGGTAGTGCAAAGCTGCTAGTGCAGAAGGAAACCCTTTTTCTTTCCTTTACTAATTCTAACAAAACCATACAGTTGCAGCAACTGAGCAGTAAAAGTTTATGAAAGTAACATGAACTCATCAGCAATGAGTAAGTATTATTTCCCAAACTATGCATGCCACATTTTTCCTTTGTATCTTCCACTGGTTGTTCTAGCAGCTGGTTTTATTGTTGCCTGAACTGAACATGTCCTGATGTTTGAGGATACGGCACCTAACTTTCTTGTACAACTTAATATAAAATCACTGGATGTTTGCACTATTTTTTTACTGTAAGCAGACCTTTCTTCACCATGACTCTTCCTTATCATCACTCTTTGTTTCCATATCCCACACTATTGGAAATGCTGGCTAAGGTGATTGGGACTTCCAGTTCAACAATATCTGGGTCTGCATGACTCCCACTCCAATATGGAGATTGGTAGAGTTGACACTTTCTGTTTATCTGTTGGATCTTGATGCTCGGAAAAGGAAAGCTTGCAGTAAAGGTTCTTTGCTCTGATTGTGTTGCAATAGGTTTAGACTTCTCTTGAAAGAACACACCAAGATATACACAGGGGCTGAAGATATCATACATCTTTATGGTTTGGAATACAAGAGTCTGCCTATTCATATAGGACCTTAGCTACAATGTCATCAGTCACCCAAAACCTCTGGTGCCTATCAGAGCTCACCTTCTCACACCTCCACACAGTTGACTTTTATGGCTGGTTCATGTGTCCTTGCAGCACACTATCCTCCCTTTCAGTCATGTGCTCTATGTCAGTACCAGGGAGCTGATACGAGGGTTGAATGAAAAGTAATGCCTCCACCTTCGTAACTCCTCAACAGATGGCAGTACTGATATGCGGCAGGTACTGACTTGTTCAGTAGACTCTCCTCTACAGTTCCATTTTGGTGGGAAGCCTTAGCATTGAATGGTTGTGTTGTTAAAATGCGAAGCATGGAACTCTGCACAGATGGTCGGTCAGTGCGACTTAAGCAACGTGCAGTCATTGAATTTTGACAGCAGAAGGTGTCAAAGGAGATTCATCAGAATGCAAGTTGTTTATTTTGATTGTGTAAATGTCAGCACCGTGCGTCGTTGGGTGGGTAAGTTTAAAGATGTTGAGGTGGGAACATCTGACTTGCGTGACAAAGAGTTAGACATCCTGTGACAGCAACTACCAAGTTTCACAAGCAAAAGGTTGACAGGTTGATTCAAGACGATTGTTGTATCACTCAGAGAGAAATTTCAAGCATAATTGGCATTTCACAAGAACATGTGGGTCTCATGTATGGCCACCAATGCTTCCTCCTCGGCAAATGTAGAAATTTCACAAACCGAAAGTGCCCTGCCACTTTGTTGTCAGGGTGAATCTGAAGGGCTTGCTCCCTTTGGTCCTCAGGCACATAAATCTTGCAGCCTTTTACCCACACCCCCTCCTTGTAACTCAATTCCTGTTTGTGGTCTCTGAGCCAGGAATCTCTTATTTCTCCCTCCTGAGGCGACATGGCCCCAGGTTCCGGCCTCCCTTTGTTTGTTTGGCTCCTCATGAACACCCCCATTCCTAGTTTGGCCATCAGCCATGTTCTCTATGTCAGTCCGGGGAGCTGATAGTTGCATGGCATGAGTGATCATGACACTTGCCCATTTATGTGATCTGCATGCCAAGATAAGTTGTTCTTGCTGCATTTCTTAATATCTCCTCAATTAAAGACAGAGAAGGAAGATTTACTGGAAAGTTGGGCAATGGCAAATGGATGCCTTCCTCTTATAAAGCTAACTGCAAGTTGTCAAAAGTTGACCTGTGTGTGTTGTTTGCCTATAGGCACATTTTTCATGTTCAGATGTTTAAAACCTATCTCAACACATTCAGAGAGACAAAGTTGCGTATAAACAAATGGAAGAAGATGAAGATGAGATGCATGATGAAAATGGATGAAGAAGTTAATTATGAAGAAGATGAAGAAGAAGATGAAGGTGATGATGGTGATGATAAAGATGAAGATGAAGAAATTGAAGAAGTTGATGATGATGAAGAAGATGAAGAAGAAGAAGAAGAAGATGATGATGATGATGAAGAGTATGATGAAGATGATGATTGGTAGGAGCTCCCAGACAAGTATGCATCATTCCAAGCTACAAACAGATGATGTGTGGAAAGCCTTTTCGTATACACTTATGTTTAAGTTGAACTTGTATAAATCAAGTGTTGTTTTGAGACTAAAATCATGGATTTTGATATGACGGCAGAGAGAGTAAACAAGGTCAGTGCTTCTTTCAGGTTCTCTTGGGATGGACTACGCGCTTGCCTTTCACAACTCAGATAGGATTTCTTTTTTTATGAAGGGCTAAAAACAGTACTTACATGGAACCATGGACAAGTCAACCCATGTTTTTGGAAGGTCAAATTCTACACTTCTCTACAAGTATATCCAGTATGCATTTTGTGAATTACCATGACTTATGTTGCAGAATGGTTTTGTCTCTTGTTCAATCTCTTCTTTCCCTCTATTAACCAGCCACCTTCGATATGAACCCTCATCCAGTGGTCGTGACTCAGCCACAGGTTGTGGTTGTTCAGCAGCAGCGCAACCATTGGCAGACTGGATTGTGTGACTGTTGTTCCGACTGCGGCGTCTGTGAGTGCAAATATTCCTATTAATTGTGGGGGAATTAACGGTGGGACTTACTGTCTTACAAGGCCAAAAGATGTTCATAATGAAAATTAGGGGGTGGATTCCTATTTGTAATTCCATGTCCTTCGACTGTCTTGATTTGTCAGGGACAATTACATTTATTTATTTACTTACTTATTTACTTATTTATTTATTTGCCATATTTGTATACCGCCTTTCTCAGCCCAGTGGCGACTCAAGGGGGTTCACAGTCGGCAGCAATTCAATGCCACAACAATTAAAAGACAATTAAAACAGTCATAAATACTATTAAAACATTTAGCAAATAGTATAAAAAGAGTACAAAGCCAAAAAACATCATAAACATCTCCTTACCAAAGTCATTATCCAATTGCATTTAATCTCCTCCCTATTTTTAATATGCTCCAGTTTTTCTTTCTGCCATTTCTCCCCTTTATCCCCAACTTACTTCAGTTGCTGCAAACAAAGTGGAAAATGTAGTTTGCATTCACTTAACTCAGTAGGAGAGAGAGGGTAAAAGTGTCAGCATCAGTAAGCAAACTGTATACAGATGCGGCATATCCACAAGAAATATATTCCAGTGGTTAGTCGCTGTTGTGAAGTCTGTTGTGAAATCTCTATGCCACATCCGGCACCCTATCTCAGTAAAAGGAAATGTTAAGGCAGTGGTTCTCAACTTTCCTAATGTTGGGACCCCTTAATACAGTCCTCATGTCATGGTGACCCCCAATCATAAAATTATTTTCGTTGCTACTTCATAACTGTAATTTGGCTACTGTTATGAATCTAATGTAAATATCTGATATGCAGGATGTGTTTTCATTCACTGGACCAAATACCCAATATGGCCAAATTTGAATACTGTTGGGTTTGGGGGAAATTGATTTTGTCATTTGAGAGTTGTAGTTGCTGGGATTTATAGTTCACTCTGAACTCCTCCAATGATGGAATTGAACCAATCTTGGCACACAGAACTCCCATGAGCAACAGAAAATACTAGAAAAGTGGGCATGGACCTTTGAGTTTTGGAGTTGTAGTTCACCTACATCGAGAGAGCACTGTGGACTCAAATAATGATGGATCTACACTAAACATGGCACAAATACTCAATATGCCCAAATGTGAACACTAGTGGAGTTTGGGGAAAATAGACATTGACATTTGGGAGTTGTAGTTGATGGGATGTATAGTTTACCTATGATGAAAGAGCATTCTGAACCCCACCAATGATAGAATTGGGCCAAACTTTCCACACATAAACCCCATGACCAACAGAAATACTGTGTTTTCTAGCAACCCCTCTTACACCACCCCCCAGGGGTCCCAACCCCCAGGTTGAGAAACACTGTGTTAAGGGGGGGGGGTTAAACTCTTCATTGCTATACTGAGTTGCAAGTAAAGCTTTTTAGTGTTTCTGTGGTTAGTCTCATTCTCTTGTTTTCCAATAGCAAGTCGCTGATAAAAAGGGGGGGACGGGACGGTGAATGGATGAATAGAAGAATATTACAGAACTTGGGTCTATAGTTTATTTAATAAGGCTTACAATTGTTATCTGCCTTGCTCTTGATAAAGTGGTATATTTTGGAAAGTTTTGATGTTCTTCTCTCCTCTGCCTGTCTAGTATGTTGTGGAATGTTTTGCTATATCTGTTTGGGATGCCAAGTGGCTGCAGACATGAATGAATGCTGCCTCTGTGGCACAAGTATGGCATTGAGGTCTGTCTACAGGACAAGATACGGGATCCCGGTAAGTGGATTGTCTCATCCAGGAATAGGCAAACTCCAGATTTGTGGAGTTTGCTTTGTGTATGCATGTGCATTTATATTTTTACTAGAAAGAAACTTGGGACTAAACAGGTGGAAGCAGTTACCAAACAGAAGCTTGGAGAGGCAGCAGATATAAGAGTTTTTTATTGTTCAGTGCTCTCTCATGCAAAAAATTTAAAATCGATCTGCTTTCTTTCTTTCACGTTTCTTTGTTCCAGTAGAGTCATTATGAAGGAGAAGAAAAACATTATTACAAAGCTAAATTAGAAGTCCTAATTCAATCGAGCTGGAGAGCAATTAAATACTATTTATTCCAGCAAGTTGAAAGCTGATATTTTGAACACCTTTCCTGTTCACATTATAGTACCAGAATTATTCTGGGAAATGTTGATAGTGCTGAGAATTTTATTTCCCTCCCCTCCCTTCCTCAAATTGCAGCTTCCATGGTCTTGTGAAAACAAAAATAGGTGATGAGAAATTAGCTTACGTTTATAACTCTTTTAACATGACCTTGTTAATTTCAACTTGTCTTTTTTGAGCAAAGATTCTTGATTGCTTTATAATAATATACATTCTTAGGAGTGGCTGAATGTGGGCAGGGAAAGGATTAAAATAAGTTTGGCGAACATCAGGTCCTGCGGCAAAAACGAGAACATTCCTGATCATTTGGAGGTTTCTTAACTTTTCTGTAGGTTTTTGCATCATGTTCTAAAGGATTAAAATGCCTCTCCTGATACTTACCACTCGACTGTAAGCTGCTCTGAGTCCCCTTCGAGGGTTGAGAAGGACAGGATAGAAATGTCCGAAATACAGTAACAGCTTTAAGCTTGAAATATTTGGATAGTTTTGGTCCCATCTTACTGTCATTGGGCCACTCTCAACGGGAATGTGGACTCCTCCCCAAAATTGAATTTGGCCAAAACAAGATTTTCACCTTTTGGGGGCAAAACATGCTTACGATCACTTTAAGTCAATCCCACCTGCAGTAGCCTCCTCACAAACAACAGACATACGGAGTAATTACAAATATATATATATTTTTTTAAATGCATCTACAACTGTGTGGATCATAATAAACCATGGCAAGTTCTTGGCAGTATGGAGATACCAAGTCACCAGGCTTGGGCAAACTTGGGCCCTGCAGGTGTTTTGGACTTCAACTCCCATAATTCCTGGCCTCAGGCCCCTGCCTTTAAGCAACTTAAGGGGGAAAGGAAAGAGCCTGAGGCCAAGAATTGTGGGAGTTGAAGTCCAAAACACCTACAGGGCCCAAGTTTGCCCATGCCTACAAGTCACCTTGTTTGTCTCCTGAGGAATCTGTATAACGACCAAGTAGCAACAGTAAGAACAGACCACGGAACAACAGACTGGTTCAAGATTGGGAAAGGAGTACAGCAGGGTTGTATACTCTCAACCAACCTATTCAATACAGAACACATCATGCGACGTGCGATGCTTGAGGAATCCAAGGTTGGGGTTAAAATTGAAGAAACATTAACAACCTTAGATATGCAGATGATACCACTTTGGTGGCGGAAAGCAAGAAGGAGCTGAGGAGCCTTCTAACCAAGATGAAAGAAGAAAGTGCAAAAGCTGGGTTGCCGGCAGGACTGAAGACCGACAGGTTCCAGGTTCGAATCCGGGGAGAGCGTAGATGAGCTCCCTCTATCAGCTCCAGCTCCTCATGCGGGGACATGAGAGAAGCCTCCCACAAGGATGATAAAACATCAAAACATCCGGGTGTCCCCTGGGCAACGTCCTTGCAGACGGCCAATTCTCTCACACCAGAAGCGACTTGCAGTTTCTCAAGTCACTCCTGACACGACTAAAGTTAAACATCAGAAAGACCAAGATGATGGCAGCCAAACTGATTGATAACTAGCAAATAGAGAGAAAAAACATGGAGTGACAGGCTTTGTCAGACTAGGAGTGAAGATTACTATAGACATAGACTGCAGCCAAGAAATCAGAAGACGTTTACTTCTTGGGAGGAGAGTGATGACCAATCGCAATAAGATAGTGAAGAGTAGAGGCATCACACTGGCAACGAAGATCTGCATAATTGAAGCAATTGAATTCGCCATAGATGGATGCGGGATGCGCTATGGATGCGGGAGATGGACCATAAGGAAGGCTGAGCGAAGGAAGATAGACGCTTTTGAACTGTGGTGTTGGAGGAAAATTCTGAGAGTGCCTTGGACCGCAAGAAGATCCAACCAGGCCATCCTCCAGGAAATAATGCCCAAATGCTCATTGGAGGGAAGGATATTAGAGGCAAAGATGAAGTACTTTGGCCACATAATGAGAAGACAGGAAAGCTTGGAGATGATAATGATGCTGGGAAATTGGAAGGAAAAAGGAAGAGACAAGATGGGTGGATGGTATCCTTGAAGTGACTGGCAGCTGGGGGTGAGCTCTGGCGTGGGCTGGTCCACAAGGTCACAAAGAGTCAGAAGTAACTGAACGAATGAACGACACACTATAGAATGAATGCAGTTTGACACTTTAACTGCCATGGCTCATTGGAATTTTAATTTTAGTCTTTAGCCTTCTATACCAAAGTACTGGGGTCTCCTTAGTTTCAAAATGAAGCCTCACTTTGCTCTTTATTTTAATAGGGATCCCTCTGTGATGACTTCTGTACCGTGCTGTGTTGCCCTGTTTGTTCCCTTTGCCAAATCAAGAGGGACATCAATAGGAGGAGAGAACTCGGAATCTTCTAGGAAGGTTGGTAGGTTTTGCTCCGTGGATATTGCTCGGCAAATGCAATGGCTGGAGAAAATAGTATTAATGTAATCTACTATGTGGTATTAATGACTCAGAGCTTTGTTAGGAAAGCATTAAGGTATCTGGTTTTTTAAAAAACTACTTCCCAAAACATTGTCTCTTTAGCATGGCCTAAGAAAGGAGATCCAGTTGGAGCAATGCAGATAAGAGGTCACATATGAATGAGCCTTGGAAGTAAACAACTACATTAGTGATACAAACTTGAACCAAGATCCTTATTAAGGAGCAAATCCCATTCAAACCTGTTATATCTGCCACATTTTCATCTCCCTTAAGATATTGCTACCCCCCAAAAATGTTTGATACCTTCTATCTGGAAAAAATGGTTACAGGGAAACTTAAGTATACCCCTGTCAGCACTCTACTCGAAATCATTATGGACACTAGATATCGTGGTTTTGCTCCACAGTTATATAATGTACGAATCCTACCCAATGATATTCATTAATTGTATTAATATGTATAGTAAAGGTAAAGGTTTCCTCTTGAAATTAAGTTTAGTCATGTCAGACTCTGGAGGTGGTGCTCATCTCCATTTCTAAGCCAAAGAACCGGCATTGTCCATAGACACCTCCAAGGTCATGTGGCCAGCATGACCGCATGGCGCACCGTTACCTTACCACCAGAGTGGTACCTCTTGATCTACTCACATTTCTATGTTTTCGAACTGCCAGGTTGACAGAAGCTGGGGCTAACAGCAGGAGCTCACCCTGCTCCCTGGATTTGAACCACTGACCTTTCAGTCAGCAAGTGCAGCAGTTTGACCTGCTGTGCCATCGGGGGCTCCAATAATACGTATACTGATGCCTTATTTTACTGTCATAAAGCAGGCCTACAGTAAAATAGTAACTCAGTAAACATTCCAGCAAAATAAATTTAATATCTTTGTGGATCGTTATTATTACGAATGCCTGACCCCCCTCTAAATGTTGTTTCTTTTCTTTCAGATGTACCTGTCCTGAAGTTACATGATTTAACATTCTGATAACAAAAAAAATTCTTAGCTTGTATTAGTAGTTTCTAAGCAGTGTTTGTTTATGACTGGAGAAGTATGTGCTCTGCTCATACAGCTTCTTTAATAATGTTCTTTTATACAGGAAACCTTATCTATAAAATTAACCTTTCATATGTCGTTGGCAATGTTTCTTGAGACTGAGGTGCATTGTGCTTCTAATAAACCTCTATTCTGTGCAAAAGGGAGTATGCCTTTTTTGTTCTCATCTTTGTACAACAAAAGCTTATGTTAACATTTAACTATATAGTGTCTTTGACGTATAGAATCATAGAGTCAGAAGAGACCTCATGGGCCATTCAGTCCAACCTCCTGCCAAGAAGCAGGAAAATCGCCTTCAAAGCACTCCCGACAGATGGCCATCCAGCCTGTTTAAAAGCCTCCAAAGAAGGAGCCTCCACCATACTCCAGGGCAGAGTTCCACTGCTGAACAGCTCTCGTTAGGAAGTTCTTCCTCATGTTCAGGTGGAATCTCCTTTCCTGTAGTTTGAAGCCATTGTTCTGCATCCTAGTCTCCAGGGCAGCAGAAAACAAGCCTGCTCCCTCCTCCTTATGACTTCCCCTCACATATTTATTTATTTATGGCCATCATGTCTCCTCTCAGCCTTCTCATCTGCAGTCTAAACATGCCCAGCTCTTTAAGCCGCTTCTCATAGAGCTTGTTCTCCAGACCTTGGATCATTTTATTCACCCTCCTCTGGACGCATTCCAGCTTGTTAACATCCCCCTTCAATTGTGGTGCCCAGAATTGGGCACAGTATGCCAAGTGTGGTCTGACCAAAGCAGAATAGAGAGGTAACATGACTTCCTGGGATCTAGACACCATACTCCTATTTATGCAGGCCAAAATCCCATTGGTTTTTTAGCTGCCGCATGACATTGTTGGCTCATGTTCAACTTGTTGTCCACAAAGACTCCAAGATCTTTTCCACATGTACTGCTCTCGAGCCAGGCGTCCCCCATTCTGTATCTTTGCATTTCCTTTTTTTCTGCCTAAGTGGAGTATCTTGCATTTGTCACTGTTGAACTTCATTTTGTTAGTTTTGACCAATCATCTCTCTAATCTGTTAAGATTGTTTTGAATTCTGCTCCTGTCTTCTGGCTATCTTGGGAGAGATAGTACTGGCTATCCCTCCCAAGTTGGTGTCATCTCCAAACTTTATGATCATGCCTTCTAACCCTTCATCTCAGTCATTAATATGTTGAACAGAACTGGGTCCAGGACGGAAACCTGCGGCACTCTGCTCGGCACTTCTTGTTGTGGCTCAGCTGGAGCCTCAGGAAGAGGATGATGGGTTTCAGATTCCTGACATGTTCCTGTTGTTGATACAGATGATGTTGATGCTGAAGATGAGGCGTTTCAGTTTCCATGGCAAAGGATGTTTTCGAATATGTTTCTGATCTTAGTGAAACTTCCCAGGTGCAGGTGGAGGAGGCGAGCTCTGATTCTCAGGCTGCCGATTCCCAGTCCTAGTGTAATGAGTTATTCGACCTTGAAGGCTCTGCAGATTTAGATAGGGAGGATTGCTTGCAATTCAAGGTTTGCCACAGTGCCAGGCTTGCTAACAAGAGAGAGGTTAGAGGTCAAAGGAATGCTTTCATGCTGGGAAAGCATATTAAACGAGCGTTTTGAAGTCAACTCTTTGTCAGTGCAACTTCTGCAAACACCCTGGTAACTTCTCTGGAATTGCCTTGGCTTTTGGGGCAATGCTCTTGGTTTCTTGGGACTTTGTCTTGTTCTTGGCTCCTTGGGACTCTGTCATGCTGCCATGGAATCTTGTTTGATCAATGCCTTTGGATTATAGAATAATAGAATCAAAGAGTTGGAAGAGACCTCATGGGCCAACCAGTACAACCCCCTGCCAAGAAGCAGGAATATTGCATTCAAATCACCCCTGACAGATGGCCATCCAGCCCGTTTAAAAGCTTCCAAAGGAGCCTCCACCACACTCCGGGGCAGAGAGTTCCACTGCTGAACGGCTCTCACAGTCAGGAAGTTCTTCCTCATGTTCAGATGGAATCTCCTTTCTTGTAGTTTGAAGCCACTGTTTCGCGTCCTAGTCTCCAGGGAAGCAGAAAACAAGCTTGCTCCCTCCTCCCTGTGGCTTCCTCTCACATATTTATACATGGCTATCATATCTCCTCTCAGCCTTCTCTTCTTCAGGCTAAACATGCCCAGCTCCTTAAGCCGCTCCTCACAGGGCTTGTTCTCCAGATCCTTGATCATTTTAGTTGCCCTCTTCTGGACACATTCCAGCTTGTCAATATCTCTTGAATTGTGGTGCCCAGAATTGGACACAATATTCCAGGTGTGGTCTGAGGGGTAGCATGACTTCCCTAGATCTAGACACTATGAATTATGCTTCATGTGTTTGCCAATGAACTTTGGAAACTTTGCATTTGCATTTCAGACTCTGCTTTTGCCATTGAACTTTTGAAACCTTATCTATGTTAAAGATTTTGCTTTTTCTTCAATAAATTAAACCTTCAGCCTTGGTGTAGTGTGGTGTTCTGAGGAAGGTGAATCTATCCTGAGCTGCGACATTTCTTTCCAGGATAAAGAGGAAGCATTGGTGAGCACCCTCTGAGTTCGTTTACTTAACCAAGTGCAGATCCACCTAACCGTAGTTTTGCCTAGCACACATTTGACTACTTTGTTTGCCAGAAGGTCATGGGGGATCTTGTCGAAGGCCTTACTGAAATCCAGATACGCTACATCCATGGAGATCCCAGCATCTACCCAGATTATAATTCTATCGAAAAAAGAGATCAGATTAGTCTGGCATGACTTGTATTTGATCAATCCATGCTGTCTATTAGCGATGACTGCATTTGTTTCTAAGTGTTTGCAGACCACTTCCTTAATTCTTTTCCAGTACACTATATAGCCGCTCTGAGTCTTGTTTAGAGAAAAAGCGGAGTATAAATAAACATATTATTATATAGCACTTTATGGAATAAAAAATACACCAGAGATGTAACTAAGTCCCAAGATGCTGACAATTTACATTAGGACAAAAACTGATGAAGAATGGTTCCGGAGTGGCAAGCATGGAGGCTGGATGGGTGCTCAGAGCTCTCTGAGCGCCAGTCCTTTTTGGTGACTGAGAAGAATAATAGCTTCTTCCTTGTGGATGGATTGATGTGTGAAGGATAGCAGAGCCCATAGGTTACCAAACCGATGGTCAAAGTGAAGCATTTCCCCTCAAGGAAGATTCTTCCAAAACCCCGACAAGGTATCACATAGTGCTAGTTGCCGAAAGGAGAACACACACAAAATTATCCACATTTTAAACACGTGTTTATTTTGAATAATTTATTCTGCTTCTATCAATTACGACAAAGGTGAAGAACTATACATGCCCAGACCTTATGACTATTCTATCGTCTCTTCCATCTTTCACCCTATTCTTGCCAAGTTAAGGCCAGATTTCCACAGACCTGCCCAATTCATAAAACTCCAGCAAGAATTGAGGACAACTCTCCTGCATTTGCTTTTTTCCTCCTCTGTACATTAAAAGGGCCCATAAACATAAGCATTATGTCATATTACAACCAAAGTACTTACACTTTAAAATAAACTTAACAACAAACATTTCCAAAGACTTTATTCAATAGTGAGCTTTTACGGGAAGGACAAAATGCAGAAAGGGGATCCATGCACCTTGTATCTGATTCATTCCTAGCTTGTCTTTGCTGGAATAATTACAGATAAAGGAAACATGGCACCTCAGGTGTCATGCCACAGAAATGTTCACAAGGCCTCAAAACAATTGAAATTTTTAATACAAAACTTTAACATGTTTTCCTCCTCCATCCCGTTATTTTTCAGTTCCACCTCAAAACTAGTTTTATGAGATACTGCTGTTCCTTTAAGACAATGCAGCTGTATCTTTTGCCTAGTTTGGGTTTTAGCAAATGCTGAACAAACCCAGATATTCAGTTTCGGATGCTTGTTTCACATTTTGAGAAGAACAGCAAATATAGTCTTTTTTGTAGGAAAAAAAGAAACTCTACTGTGCCATCTGAGCTTCCATAGCCTGCGCTGTCCATTCTGGGGCAGTCTGGCTGATCTTCTCCAGAAGATTATTAACTTGGAAGCAAAGTGACTGGATCTGTTTGTCCCAGGTTGGTAAGGCTTCCCGAGCTGAAAAACAACAGAAAGGATAGGTAACAATAGAACTCAATCTGAACAGTTTCTAATTTATTTCTGCTAAATTTACATTGACATAAACCACAAGGACATTTTGAGTTTCTTACCAAGCCATTACATTTACACAAGTACCACCTGCTGGTCACAGTAGGAATCAGCCCATCAAAGTAAGATATAGTACAGGCCTGAGCAAACTTGGGCCTTCCAGGTGTTTTGGACTTTAACTCCCACAATTCCTAACAGCCTCAGGCAGCTGAGGGGGAAAAGGGGCCTGAGGCTGTTAGGAATTGTGGGAGTTGAAGTCCAAAACACCTGGCTGAGGGGGAAAAGGAAAGGGCCTGATGCTGTTAGGAATTGAAGTCCAAAACACCTGGAAGGCCACAGTTTGCCCAAGCCTGGCTGAGGGGGAAAAAGGGTCTGAAGCGGTTAGGAATTGAAGTCCAAAACACCCGGAAGGCCAAAGTTTGCCCATTCCTGATATATACTCATATATAAGTCTATGGAGTTGGGTCACAAAACCTGGACTCTTAGGAATTGTGGGAGTTGAAGTCCAAAACACCTGGATGGCCAAAGTTTACCCATGCCTAATATAATACTTTGAATCAGGAACTTGAAGTCAAACAATGCTTCCTCTTTACCAATCTGCTCATTCATCTAGAAAGTATCTCAACCACCTGCTTCAAAAGGATTTCTTGTTGCTTTCACAACCAGGAAGGTAGTTAATCAAAAGACTGCTTCAGCATATGCTTTTAACACTTCATAAACCCAAAAAAGTATTGCCAAACTTACTTTCAAAATGAACTATTCCATCTATCTGATCGATAAATCCATTCATGCGACCTTCTGTGATCATCTGGGAGGCTATCTTTTCTGCCTGAAAAAAAAGTCAAAATAATGTCCACTTTTCCAAGAATATGAAGGCCAGACACAAAGGCATTGACAGTGCACAAAAAAAAGCATACACATCGATGTATTTATGCAGAGAACTCTGCCATGTGCTAATTTTATGAGGTCACAGACTACT